ACCTAACGCCTTATTAACGTATATGTGTTTGGTATTAATGACTGAAACCAGTCATTTTTGCCCCCATCTGGGTCACTAGTAGAGGCTCTGGCACTGACAGATCTGCTTGCAGTGTTATTTTAAATTCCTTCCAAAAATTTCACCAGTTCTAGCAGTGTCACCTAGAAGACGCCAAGTCAAAGACAATATGGGTATAGTTTTAGAGGTTTTGGTCTTCGATACGCTGTTCTGGTGACAAAGTTATTGATGCTATTGAGCCACATACTATGAAAGCGCTTTGGAAGCAATAATATGATGCTGCTTATTATGTGAAAATCTCCACTGATGCAGCCTCGTGCGAGGTGTTTTTTGTATATTTTATATTTAAAAGCAATGCGATGATTTAGTGCCTGCAAAATTATAGTTGGTTCCGTGTTGCTATCAAGGGGAATAAAATTCTAATCGAAAGGGAGCTTTTAGAAAGAATTCAGAACTATAATGCTCATAAGCTGTTTTGTAATGTCTTAAAGCACAGTTTGACATGTGCTGCTGGTTAACTGTGTGCTTTCAATTATTGCACACCCCTGTCTTTGATCCAGAAAAATTACGGAATGATTTCTCGCAGGGGGGTGCTTTCTGTTGCTGTTCAATAAAGGAAATGGATTCATTTGTGCTAAACAAAGAAGAAAGGCGGGGATGGTGGCAATACTCTGCAGGGGGGCAAAATGCAGTTCAGTGGCAATGCATAGATTGAAAAATGTGTAGTTTTTGGTGAGCTGCCTCCGTGTTCTTCTGCTTCCCTCTGCTGGGGTGCGGCAGGATTCCTGCCCGGCTCCCAGCCAGGCTGCGGAGCAAATCTGAACCACCTTTAGCAGAGCCAGAGCTGGCTGGCTGGGCAAGGCGCTTCTGCAAACTCATTTATTTATTTTATAAAGGCTTCTGCTCCGTTTTTGGTTTTCTTTCAATAGGTCCACATAGTGCAATCTGTGTCCAACGCGGATCTCCTGGTCAGTGTGATCCTATGGCTGCCTGTCTCTGCATGAGCGTGTCTCAGCTTTGAGACTAATGAATAATATTTTGATTTTTTTCAGAGCTGTATGGGGTGTAGATGCCCAGTTGCTGTTCATCTTTATAGGGATGCTGCACCCATGTACGTCATTACAGGCTCTGAACCTCCAGTTTATTGCACTGCAGTCAAATTGCGAAGCACTGGCTAGATTTCTGCCAATTTACAGGTTTTTCAAAGACAAATATTTAAATGTCTGTGAAATTGATTGCCCAGTTTCCTTTCCCATTTAATTATACTATATTGCATTCAGTTGTACTTATAAAGATGGGGGACTGTCTTAATAATAGCAGAGAATTCGTTTTTTAGCATGAAAATAACATGAATTTCAATAGAGCATATCGTTCATCACGGCTTAACAAGTGCTGTCCCATTGCTTTCCCATTGCCACTTTCCCCCTTCATAATTTTGATGGATTTTGGAAACAGGAGTGGGTTTTCCCTTTAGAATTTCACAATTAATCTATGCCAAGTTTAGTGCAAAGTTCAGTTCTCTTGCAAATAGCAGCCATTATTTGGCAGTTCATCTGTCATATCCTGGCTTGGCTCCCTGTGTTTACTATGAAATATGACTGCGAGCTATGCTTCAGGAATTATTGAAAGTTTACATTGATTAAAAAGGGGATATTTGGAGAAAAATTACGGGAGCTTACCTCTTAGTCAGTAGTTTACCTCTAGCTGAAAAATATTAAAGACGATGCTATTTCCTCAATACTGCGTGTAAGTCACTTAATGAATTGGGAAGTATTAAACTGCATTAACAACTAAGAAGTTAATTGCTGTTGATAATGTAAGTAATTAGTACTGGCAATGTAGTAGTTATTACTAATACAGGTACTTATAATCAAATTGTAAACTACAGATTCAAGGGTAGTTCTCAGTGCATGAGAAGCCCATGTTAATACAGGGAATAAGATAAAAAGGGTTTAACATCCATGATGGGTGTATAGAGATCTCTTGGCTTTCTCTTATGTTCTCAGACTTGCTGAGAAATAACAATGTTTTGTACACTTTAGTTTACCAAAAATAAAAAACACGCATAGGATTGAAACAGAAAATAGGATTAAACTGATGAAGAGTGCATGCTCTTATTTGTTAGCCTTTATATTTTTTAAGTTCTTCTATTTAGTTCTATTAAAAGGATTTTAAGAGAGAGATTTCCTGCCTGCAAAGTTTCCATTTCACAAGTAGTTCGGTGCTGGTTTCCTTTGTCCTCTTTCTTCACGCTCTGCTTGGAATAAGGGACTCCGTGTGTGCATATAGAATCATAACTAATAATAGTCAGAGCATACTTACTGCTCTTAAAAAAAAATTAATTCGTACTGAATTGTTCATTTTACACATCATACAGTAGGCATTTTCACACAACAAGAGAAAACTAACATTTATTATAGAAAGCAAACGATGATTCAAATTATATACATTGAGTCGTGCAGGGCCAGGTTCAAAGCTTGATCCAACTTCATTTATTCATTCATGTGACTGGATTTATTCCATTGTTTTATAAGAATACTTTTGCTGGTATTTTGTAGTTGCACACAGTTATGCACAGGAATACGTGAGCCTTTGCTGCTGTCATGCTGCTTTGTAGTGAGCAGTATAGTTGTCCTTACATGTCACAACATTTTTAAGCCATGCACACACTCCTGCTTAACTTAATTATCACATGCATTCCATTGATTAGAATGGAATTATTTGGTAGTGTTTGTTCTATAATTTCAGTATAATACACAGTTTCAATGTATTTAGGAGACATTCACTATAATGATTTCCCATAGTTCTTTCCCCTCTATATCATTACTTTATACTCATAAATACCACTTCTGTCAGACGTTAAACACAACTTTAAAAATCTGTTTATTCAGTGTCATTCTTAGGAGCTGTGGGTTTTGTCCTTCGCAGCAACAGATGTGCTTGCCAAACTAACATTTAAGTGTGTATATTTATGGAGCAACAAGTCCTCTTACGTCTTCTAAACAAAGCAATTTAAGGAAGGCTTAGTTTTGAAAATGTGTTTTAAATTGTTTGGAAGGCATATAGTCCGAGTCAATCCGTCAGATAACCCTTTAGTAAAGCAATGTTCCCATGACCCCACACCGCAAGACCCATTGGCTATATCTTTAATAAATAACGAAACAGATGTTCTCAGGAGCACTGAATGTCATTCCATTTAGATTAGCTGTGTTTACAAAATAAATATGGTTGTTAGCAGTTTGCATTTCGTATCTCGGGCTGTATAACAAACAGAACTATTGAAATAGTCTCAATTTGAATTTTAGTATAAAGTCTTTAGTGGATATCCTGGATACGATACAATTTCTATCTGTGCAGTGAAAACCAGTGGTTGTAAATTCTTCATAAAACTCAGAATCAGTCCCCAAAAAAGTTCACACAAAGAATGCTTACCAAAACAACAAAAAAAACCTTCACAAAGCGTAATATGGCAAAATATATTACGTTTTGAAGGCAAGATTTTGCCTTCTCAAAGTCATATTGTTTTGATAATTACTGTTAGAAGTTCCCAAATTTCTTAAATTTCTTGAGAAAGCACTTATACCAGAGGATTCTTTTATTTTTGAAGAAAGAGTTAGCAGGTTTTCCATTTTGTATAACATGCTGTGCTTTGCTTTTGATTTTTTGGAAGACTTTTATTGGCAGATGCAAGTTGAAAAGTGAGTTTATTTTTTAAGACAATTGAGTAATTCTTATCTAATGTAGTATAAAGGCATAGTAATATAAAATGCAAACAGAAGAAAAACGTTTTGATGTCTCATTTTGCAGCTGTGTTTTCATTGAGGGTATTTTAATGCATGAAAGACCTGGCATTTCGTGATTTCCATGGTCTTTCTGTAAAGAATGTTAGCAAGAATTGATTTCAAACTCCAGTGTATTTTTTTAATGAAGGAGAATTAGTGCTCTTCCCAACTTCTGATCAAGACTTGTGCGGTGATAATTTTGACTAAAATACAGCCGGGGCTGGAACTGGTCATAAAGGATATCAAAATATCGATGATGTGCACGGAAGTGTAGAGCTATCAGGCTGTTTGTTTTGGCAATGCCCATCTCCAAGTGCTGGGAACAGGCTGTGCAAGTCTGGTGGATGTGAAGGTCTGAGGCTATGTATACGTGGAATGAGCCTGACATGGGTGAACATACTGAAGGTGTGATTTTTCTCCTTTTATTTAAATACTCTTGGTTTTCCAAAGGGGACCTGTACCCCTAGAGAAACAGCAAATGTATTTGGATGTGTCATACATGTAAGTGATTTGGATGTATTCCCTTTCACTGGTCCTAAATTAGAAACCATTTCCAAGCTACTGCTGGCCTTAAAATGTCCTTGCTGTAAGTTTCTCTGCTCGAAAATCAGGTGGGAATAGTAGTCTCTCTAAAATATTTGCTCCATGCCAAGTTAGAATGTGTTCACTTTCATTTGCAATAATATAGATTATAAATTGGCAACATTTCGATGATCCCATCTGTAAGATCCTGACTTTACGGTCATTTGACTGTATTTCATGTTAGCCCCCTAACAGTTACTTCCTTCCTCTCCTGCTGTATTTTATGTCATCATTTCAGAACGGTGATGATAACGGACTGTAAACAAGGAGACAGCACACGGCACTTTAGCCACAGGGTGAATGCCGTCCTTGTACTTTATGTAGATGTACAGTCAGTAAATGGGAGTTTTGCTCTAGATGAATCACAGAAACAAGCCTGTGTTCTTGGAGCTGACTTACTCTTTCTTACAACACCAAAGTAAGGGAAAATTAGGAACTGATTTACCTGCACCGAGGTAGGCACTGCCATAAGGGTTGTCAATAAGCTATGTGCTGGAATATATTTTTCTGTAGCATTAGTTGCAGAGCTGGAAAGCTTTTGGTTTTAAAGTACTAGATTAAAGGGGTGTCAATCTGATTTTTTATGACTTGAGAATCTCTTTCTGTTTGTTCCTTCAGGATCCCAGAAGCAAGCACAAATTTAAGATCCACACATATGGGAGTCCGACCTTTTGTGACCATTGTGGGTCGCTGCTTTATGGGCTTCTGCACCAAGGGATGAAATGTGACAGTAAGTGAAGTTTTTCTGTGTTACCAAAAGGGTATTTTAGAAAGTAAGTGGAAACACTGGGTAACAGCTTCTTTTCTGTGGAAAATACCATTTCAAATGTCAGCTATTTATAGTGCTGTTATATTTCAAGTGGGTATTTCAGTACTATAATATTATACTAATGAAAATCACCTCTGTTGCCGAGAACATGGTGTGTTCCATTTGATGTGGCTGAAGAGCCTTTGCCATGGCAGTTTTGAGAAAGCCTCTTTTGGGACTGGTCAGGTGAATGCGCTGTTGAAGACAGAAACTTCAGTTCAGTTGGTAGCCAAGGTCCAGTATTTTCCTTGTATTTCAATTGCCTTGGAAGTCTCCTGCTAGAAAAATCTCCTAATCAATTTAAACCTAATTCCCTTCATTGCTAATGCTGGCACCAGTGCTCTGTTTTCTTAGTCATATTCCCAGCAAGCCTTTATTCCATTTCAACTTTTTTTTTCCTTGCACTTCATTAATGATATCTTTAGGTTTCTGGAGTAGATTATTTTATTCTCTGTTTCATTCACTGTCTGCAAAATATATTGTAAGATGGAAACTAGCCATGTCGTTCAGTTGGAAAACAAGCAGCTGTAATCTGAAAGTCTTGCCCACAGTTAAGCTTTGTAATCTTAACTTTCATTTTGCTCAGTGTTTGCAGTGTAATCGTATTATTAGCTTCTTATAGCTGTCTGAACCATTTTTATATCCACAGCCTGTGACATGAATGTTCATAAGCAATGCGTAATAAATGTCCCAAGCCTCTGTGGCATGGATCACACAGAGAAAAGAGGAAGGATTTATCTGAAAGCTGAAGTCACTGGTGACAAACTGGAAGTAACAGGTAAACAACTAATTTTGAATTTTGCAGGTTTTATAAATGTATAATATACACTGTGGGTTTATGTACCTTCATCAAATCTTTATGTATTAAAGCCAGTGACAGAGTATTTCCCTTCAGAAGTGTGAGGATTTCATTCAACATGTCCTTGAATCAAGAAACTGTATGAACTGGTGTTCATAAAAGTAAATAGAAAAATGAAAGCTGTAGTAATAGCTTTAAAAACTCAGGAAAATTAATTTAAAAGTCACTGTAATGTCAGTTTTTCATGTAGAAAGCAGCCCAGTAGGATAGCTAGCTATTCAGGAAGTTACCCATCATCTTCAGAACACAAGAAATACTCTAAACTTTCATCAGCTGAGGACTTGTTTCCTGCATTCCAGAGTATTTCATAAACAAAGGCAACTTGGTTTCAATCCCAAATGTCACTCCTGGTGAGTTATAAAATGAAAAATAAATTACTGCAATCTGTAAGATTAAGATTACTAAAATGGGGAGGAGGGAGAGAAAGGAAGGAAAGAGAGTGGCAGTTCATTTCCTTGGAAGTGTTTCTCCCAGGATTTATGAGTAAGCTTTGCTTGTGTGCACACCCACACACCTCCACTGACCCATTCCGAGTCTGAAGTTGCAGAAAAAATTCTGGGAAAGGTATTTTGCAAGCTGAAGGACTGTTTTGTCCCCCTAAATAGACAATGTAATAGGCTGTTTAACTCCAACTGAACTTCCTCGTGCTGTATCAGAGCGCGGAGTTTATCGCTCAGGATCTGCATGAGAATGTGTATTTACAGCATGTTACGTTTGTTCTGTATGTGCTTTCTGTCTTGGCTGGGGTCAACTAATAATTAGTGTATCCCATATCTGAAGTGTAAAGTTGGTAGTGAACTTTATTGTTGATTTTTTCCTCCTATTGGACACAAATATGCAGAAGATGTTCTTTGCCAATCAGAGTGCAGTGTATTCACTCAAAGGGAGAGCGCAGGACAGGAATTAGGATGGACAGAAGTGAAATAAGGGAAGGAATGACAGAAAATTTTGTTCATGGTTCTTTTATAGTTAGAGGCACGTCTGTAAAACAAACTAAATTCTAAAAGAAAGTCCCAAATTTTTATGGCTCAAAACTTTAAGGAAATTTCAAATATGTGCTGTAGTATCTAGAAGCAAAATAAGTGTGATATAGCGTAGGAAACGCATAAACCACCAATTGTCAAAAGCTTTTACCTCAGGAGAATGGGTTGGTTAGTGTGTCAACACAGGTGTCCAACACTGCTTCTTCAGTGAAGACAACTTAAAGACAACAAGTCTTAGTACACCACATTAGATGTACACTGATACAGCTTAAAAGCTGGTACGGCAAGAAGGTGAATTTGGTGTCTACACTATGAAACAAGAACAGGGTACAATGCTTTTATCGTTGCCTGTTTGGTGGTGTAAAATGGAACTGAATTTTAGGGCAAAGTTGCAGCAGGACACAGGAGGAGTTCCCTTAGACCATCTCAACTTCTGCCTTTGTTTCTGGATGCAGTTGTTGGCAACCTGTGGCTGTGGAGTGTTGCGTATTGCTTCAGCGTTGCTCAGTTGAAAGGCTAAAGCCTGTTACATGGCAAAAGGAGGATGTTCCTTCTACCTCTGCACTTCTTCTTTGGAGAATGAGTTCGATAGAGACCATACCCCTTGTAGTCAACGTAAAGGAAATCTGACCATCACACTGAAGTTTCACAGCTTATAGAACTAGCAGACTCCCCTCCTGGCGCTGTATTCATTCATGGCTTTGTTCTCTCTAAATCCGAATACCTCCATATTCTCCTGTCAAACCTGGTAAAATGCATTGAAAAGGAGAAGTATGATAAAATTCAGTTAGAAAGGATCAGAACGGATCCCAAGTGATACTTAATTGTAGCTTAACTTTTCAAATATCTTCCTGTCGACGTAGGAGGGTAAATTTGTCCAAGGTACTGTCATTAAGAGAAAGGTGGTTTCACTTAGTGAGGCATTTCAGAGATGGTGATGCAGGTTCTAAAAGTAATGTACCATGAGAAAGAACTGATTTGAAAATCATCCAAGTCACAAATTTAATATTTGCATTATTCTAGGCCGCTTTGCAGGAAAGTTCTTAAATCAAACAACTCACAAATAACAGGTACTGATTTTGTCATGATTCAGCAGGTTTGTAATCCTTTTGGGGACAAAAATGTTTATCACAAGTCTTTGTGGTACCAAGGCACTCTGAAACGATTATACAAATAACCATTCTTTTAGTTCACAGTGTTGTTTGAAAAGCTCTTGTCTGAGATACGAATATGGTAAAATCATTACGGATACTTCATAGGTTTTCTTCATAAACTCTTTTTACTGTGAGTGTACTTGGCAAATGCTGTTACTTTTGTGTTTGTAAACAAAACATTTACATCCCACAATTACGTAGGTTTTTGGACAATACAAAAAATGTTTACGGTAACCTTGTTGTGTATTTAACAATCACAGTGCTGTTAAATTGGTTTGGTTGAGGCTTGTCAGCATTTCCAAGCTTTCAAAAAATTTCTTTAAATAAAAATGCCGGTTCCCTTGAAAGTAAGCTGTCTTTTTTTTTTTTTTTTTTTAAATAAAAAATACTATACGGACTAAGCCCAGACTGCGTGAAGTTTCAGATAACTTTTGTGCATGTTTAACTGAGAAGGAAATCAGCAATTGTCAGCTCATGGACCATATTGCCATGCAAGAATTTCTGACTCCTTTTCTCCCAGTATGGCATTGCTTCTGAAATATTTATTGACAAAAGCTGTGTTAGAATATACAGATCTCAGAGCTGCCACGCACAATAGCACTGCCTGTAGCTTCGGGAAAGGAGGTGAATTAAATGTCCAGGAGGTTTAGGAACAGCAGGGAAAATAATGATTGGCTGTTTAGTTTGAGCCTTGACGTGAATCTTTTTCAAAGGAATTATTCTGTAGGTGTTGAACTCCTTCAGCTGAATGCCTTCATATCTCTGCTCTGCGTCCTGTTTTGGTTGTTAATTAGTTCCTACTGATTCTTTCATAGCCAGCCCTGATTGCATGCAAAACATTTGTGCTGCTAAATGCAGACGTTGCACTCTGGTTGGCGTCTTGCAAATACCTTCGATGGGCAACTCAGCCATCCCGGTTCAGGGAGGATGCAGCACGCTTCATGACCGCTGCCAGAGGTGGTCATTTGGGGGACGCTGTTTAGTATGTGGCAATTTGTCTTTGCTTCCATGAAATTGCTTTGGGGGTTTTGTGGTGGCTTTTGTTTCCAAAAAAGCCACAGTAAGTGCTCGCTTACTAAGTGTTTTCCCGAGAAAATAATGTAAATATTACAGGGAGGGGTTCCCAGTGAATTCTAGGAAAGGGGCAAGGCAGAGCACTGCCAGATGGAGTTGGCCAGTGGTTCAGTCAGATTAGCTAAAACATCAAAGTACTTTGGCAGGTTTTGAGTTGAACTAATGGGTGGAAATGATTCAGTCCTATATGTAAACATACTTAATTCTGGTTTACTAGGTGGAATCTTCAATCTGGGTGCTTAAAAGTAGACATGCAGTCTTTTCTGTGTGACTGCTAGAGACTCTGCAACACTTTTTCACGAATAAGTAGGAATTTTGTATTGATGTACTCCACAAAAACCCTTGCCATCTTCCCAGGGCTAGTCAATATCCCACATTCAGTGCTCATTTGTGTTGCAGTTCTTAAATATCAATGCTTTATTTTGTAGCTACTAGCTTGAGAGTTGCGTTGCATGTTAATAATTTCTTGCACTTGCAGTAAATCATCTTGGCAGTTTTCTTTTTACAGCAACTGTCTTGAATTGCTTTTTTTCTGCAGTCACTGAATTTATGACCCTTTCATTGGTTAGACTGGCTTGGGGATTTTGCTTTTAGGCAGAGTTAAGCAGTTTTTGCTATTCTTAATCTGTGCTTTTTGCACTGAATTTTCTTCCTCCTGATGTGCGTTAAAAGTTTTGTCACTCTTACGTTTACTTATTGACCCGTCTTATCATTTGGAGCTCTTCTGAGTTGAGTTTGTAGGTGGTTGAATCACAGGTTCGATTTTTTATTTTTATTTTTGAATTATTTTTATAGTGAGTGAACAATAACCTTTGTAAGAAAATAACCCCATCTGCTGCACTGACATATAAAAAGCTGCCACATTTTTGGGATCCTAAACTGTGGCCCGTCAGTTGCTGAGAGTAGGATGTGACAGTAGCTGACAATAAGGGACTGCCCTCCCGGCACAGGCACCAATTTAGAGGCAGGGTGTTAGTGACTCGCTGTCAGCTAATGCACCCTACTGTTATAGAAACGTTACTAAAATATATATATACACAGCCCTGAGTTTTCAGGGGTTTTAAACTCTATTTTTCTTAGCTGAAAGAATAGAGAAAAATGTGTTTTACTCTTCACTGAGGCTTCTATTATTTAAAAGAGGAGGAAAGCTGGCAGTGATCTCTGCAGAGGTTGGGAGCACATAGCAGGCTCTCCAACAATAATCTCCCTAGGAGTTCTGTGCTCCCCACCGTGCGTTTTTCGAATTATTTATGAATGTATGAATGCTGAGCCACCCTCTGGCACTGCATATTAATGTCTTGCACGCTGCTTGCTGTGGACAGCTGGGTTAAGAGTCTTTGCCCAAACAAGCTTGAGAGACAAACTGGAGAATTTTGGCACATTTCTAGATTCTCGTAAAAATTATTTCCTTAAAGGACCCCACCACACACACACTCTAACAGTCTTTTTTATGACTGTCTATGTCAGTATTAGTGTCTGTCTTTGTTAGCATTAATTTAATTATATTCTGCAACTGAATTTAAAAGGGAACAAATATGAATATTTTGTCTGTTTGACCAGCTTTTAGTACCAAATAAAGTGATCCCAAATAATTACTTCCATGTGGGAGGCATTTTTAATATCTCAAAGAATGTGAATCACATGTTTTATTTCACTGATACCGTCTCTCTTTTCTGGCACTCCCAGAATCTGCAGGGTTGCTGTGTTC